AGTTACTACCACACAGGGTGACACCAACCCTACCGATGACACTTTTCTCTGTCCCACTCAGTTCAGACCACTGTCTACTAATGTATAACATTCTCTAAGTGTCACTTAGATTCACAGGGTGCTACAAGTCAGAATATACTCAATAGTGGTGAGCTTGGGGTTGTGTGTGTGTATGGTTTTTTGGGGGGAAGTGTCACTCAAACATTGTATTGGACTTTTGACTGTTGTCTGGACTTCTGTTTTGCAGCTCTCTCCAATCTGTCATCCAGTGCCAGCTAGATTTATCCCACGAAGGCATACATCTGGCCCTATCATCTCTCTCTACTTCAGATACATACACAACTCCTATAGTCTATAAACTGGTGTCCTTATTTCTAGTGTGAGACTTTAAGATATTTTATAATATTGCCTCAGCTTCTCTCTTGCTTGAAAGTACAGCGATACCATTAATTCCCTTAAACCTCCGTGATCCTACCTTTGACCTGTTGTTAATTTGTGAGGAAGGTCCTTTCACCTGCTGAAGGTGGTTTCCTCGTCTGAACATCCTGCACATTATGAATCCATCTCCAACATCCCACTCTGAGCAGGAGTAATAATTCTCATCTCTGTTTTCCTAAGACACTGGGTTTTGGTCCACTTGTGTGCATACTTCGCAGAGTCAGCCTTGTGCCATCAGGATTTCATTTGCTCTTCCTCCCCTAATGGAGTGTGAGCTCCCTGGAGGTGATCACTGCAACTGATTAACCTTGGTGTACCATTAAAGGTGTGCCTCTGAGCAGACATGCAATCAAGTAGTGATCAATTAAATTTTCCCCTTCTTCTTTTTCTTCCTTCATTAGTTCATGCTTCTCTTGCTCTCATCCCCATTTCAGGAGAAGAAAGGTTTATTTGTTGGCTTTCCCCCCACAGATCCCTTCACGTCTACATATTTGTCAAAACACTAAAACCATTGCTTTTTGTTGCACAGTTTATTGCCACATCTGCACACGGGGAAAATAAGGTTGACTCCCTGGAGATAATATTGAGTTGTTTGATCCACCTATTCTACTTAAGAGATCAAGTAAAAAAAAAATCTTCTCTCTTAAGGATAGAAAATAGCTTCATCACCCATTCTGGACCTGTGCACGTTTCTTTTCTAGTTTTCACCTTGTCAAATTCTTGGGTACATTGGGGAAAACATTGCATTATTCTATAAACATAGGGAAGTATAAACGTAGGGCATTACACTGAATTGTTCTATAACATAGGGAGTTGCCTGCAAAGCAAAGAAGACCTTTATAGGTGATTCTCTTCTTTGGTGTAGAGGAATTCCAAGCATATGTACTAAAGCTGAAATTCAACAGGGAGAATGATAGTACAAAGGTCTTATGAAATCAGGTGTCTATCATATCTTCTTTCCCTTATTCAAAGATTAATGTTTTGACTCCAGAAATTTTAATTTCCAAAATAATGTTTTCACTATTCCATATAGTTTACAGTCTATGATTTTAAAAATATATTCCCAACTCCTGACACAAAGGCCGTTTCATTAATAGTGTTGTCACAGTTATCAATAATGGTTTCCAGATGTAAGAAGTATCTAGAGGAGAAGGTTTTCTTTTAGTGAGAGTCTGTAAGGATCTTCAGTTCCAGTTCAGAGCCTTAGCATTCCCACAGGTAGCAGAGGATATTTTGTTTCCCAGGAGGAAGCACAAGAGATTGTACCATCGCTGGGAAGAAGTCTCTAGGTCACAGGTCACAAATTAATGATTTGGTGATGTGGTTTGTTTCACTTGTATGACATGTTGTCCAACAACAGCAATATTAGGTTTACAACTTTAGAAATTATTTTCTGAGGGTTGACATATGGGAGATTTCATATGAGACAGACAGCTCTTATTGTTTTATGAAATCAAAAGCTTTGACAGCATTGGTTATAAAGTCTCCCAGTCAACTGGAGCGGAATTGAAAGTAGGCATATGTGCTTTCATTTCCCACAATCTCTATCATTTTCTACTCTCTCCCTGGAAACAAGGTTCAAGGTCAGTTGCTATAATAACCTTACTAGCATTCATAATTTGCTTGTAGTATAATTAAGGGCTCTTGATAGAGTTAAAGGGAAAGTACAGGAAATACAGGCAATATGTGGATTACAGGTGAGATCCATCCCAATTTCTAAATTTTTTAGTGAATTTATAAGAAACCTTGGTAGCATAAAGGGTTACATGTTGGACTGCTAAAAAATCAACAGTTTGAAACCATTAGCTGATCCTCAAGAGAACGATAAGGCTTTCTGCTCTAGTAAAGATGTACACCATAGTCCTCAAGGGTGAACTAAAGTGTGCCTGACCCAGGGCATGGTATTTTCATTCTTCTCATATGCATGTGAAAGTTGAACATTGAATAAGAAAGGCCAAAAAATAATTGATGAAATTGAATTATGGTGTTGGCATAGAATATGGACAGTACCGTGGACTGACAGAACAAACAAATCTGCCTTGAAAGAATTATAGTCAGAATACTCCTTAGAAGCAAAGATGGGTGGTTGACTTTGTCTCATGTACTTTGGACATGCTGTCAGGAGAGACCAGTCTCTGGAAGAGGACAACATGCTTGGTAAAGTGGAGGTGTAACTAAGAAGAGTAAGTCCCTCAACACGATGGATTGACACTGTGGCTGCAACAGTGGGTATAAGACCAATTGTGAGGCTGGTGCAGGACAGAACGGTTGTTTCGTTCTGTTGTACTGTTAGGAGTTGGAACCCACTGGATGGTAGCTAACATCAACAAAGTTGCTCAAGCTCAGAAACCCAATATAGTATTGCGATGAGTTGAAATCCACGAGAGAGTTGAGTTTGTAAGTGAGCTGACTCTGGTGTATATGGTTCTGATGTAGCTGTCCTTTGGCATCATAAGGTATCACTGCCAGATGCTCTGCAGGAGAGAGATGAGGCGTTCTACTGTCCTAGAGTTATAGTCTCAGAAACTCACAAAGAATTCTACTCTGTTCCAAAGGCTCACTAGGAGTAAAAATGGACTCAAAGGCAGTGAGTTTGGGTGTTTTTTTTTTTTTATTTTAGTGGCAAAAAATAGGCTTAAGGCCTTTTCCATAATTTAAAGTTTGCTACTGAAGAGAAATTTCTTGTGGAAAGTATAGGTTAGTTCAATTGTTTCAAAATTGGGGGAAATTTACATCACAATAAAGGGCAAAGGGAGTTGTCCTTAATTCTGACCTTTGTAACCCAGGATTCTGGTACTTTTTGCTATCAAAAGTGTAGGGGAAAGACAAGTAGACTGAAGTGATTGTTTTTCAAAATGATGGAAGCCCTTGCATTTTATTATAGAATATGTCTATGTTTTTCCTACACACACAATGTGCTGTGGTTAAAAAGAATAAAATTTCAGATATCAAAGTCATTCAACCCATTGTAAACATACACGCGCGCACACATACTATGATTGCTCTAGAGAGAAGATATACAATGGAAATGTTAATTTTTTTTTTAAAAATCAGATGGAAAGTTCTCCTCATTTTGTGTTTGAATGGAGATCATCAGTGTTGCCTCTGGGGAGTCAGTTGTGCATTGTTTTCAAAGATGAGGACTCTCAGACACCAAAACATTTTAGAGATTCCACATGTATTTTTAAAGTGTTTACTAATTGTAGTAGAAGTCATGTGTCTAACTACACGTAATGTTTTCATCTTGTTGAGATGTTATACAAGGTAAGTTATACGGAAAAATTCAACTTCCGGTGACAATTGTTTGCAGTTTATGAGAGCACAGATAGAAATCGTATCATAGTGACACATGTGCTCTTCATGATGCCAGTGGTAATTTGCATGTGAATGAAGAATATTTAGGTATGTTGACCATTAAAAGTAAATCAGAAAATGACGAGCAAGTTTAAAGAATGCAGATCATAATGACTACATGTGCCTGAGTTTCCGTGTCAAACATTTTACAAAACTTATCCAGCCTTACCAGCTTTTGCAGGGACACAGTTTACATTTGCACATTGACAGATTCACCTGGTATTACTTGCTTTGTAGTAAAAGGCTTAAATAGAACATAGATGACCATAGTAGTCACCACCATAAGGTGCAAACCCCTACTGGCTGGCACAGCACAAAACATGGACAAAATGGACAGAGCGTGATGGTCCCACTGCCCTTTCTGCGTCTAGGTCCCTGAGGGCAAGGTGCTCAGTCTAGACAGGAAATCTACAATGTAAAGAGTCAACCTGTGCTTGGAAATGTGTAGGCATACATTTCTCTTCCTTTCTGATACGAACTAAAGTCGAATAGCCTCCACTCATTTACCTCCACTCATACTCCAGTTCCAAGTGAATGTGTTAAATGCTGGACTCTACCGTGGAACGCCAATCGCAAGGCCTGATATCAAGACCCGGGTGCCACAGAAAAGGTGTCACATATCTGCTTTGTAAATGAAAGTGAAATGCCTTATGAAAGAAAACTAAATATTAAATATTGCTATTTTACTTTGGACTTTTTATTTTAAAACATCACCAGTATGCATTTTAGCGTTATCTCCCAGGATCCTCTTACAATTAATTAAACACAATTTTATTGCATATCTGGCAGTTTATTATTCTTAAAAATAGCCAGACTTCCTCATTTGCAGTACCTCTCTGGCTCCAATGGTTATTTGAGTTGGTGGTGTCTGTGTTGGTTCATATACTAGCCATTCCTCCCCGGCCCTACTCTCTCATTGACCTACAAGGGAAGGAAACATTACCACCATACTGACAGTGGAGAAATCTATGAGCCATTCATAAAGAAAGAGAGCACCTCAAGTTCATTTCTGTGTGGCTGGCATATACTGTAATAGTTGTCCCGTGAAAGTTTATAAGGTGGATGGATAAATGTACTTTCGTTGAATACAGAGCACATATCCAGAACTCATTGGAAATGGAAATTATATTTCAATCCCATGCAAGTTCAGTAGTAAAGGTAAAGGTCCTTTTCCTCAACGTCTCTGTCTTGACTCTTCTCTGTCTTAGATGCCTATACAACAGCTGAAGTGATTTATTCTTGGACTCTTGGGAAGAATAAATCTGTGGAGGTGGCACAGGATGGCTCTCGCCTAAACCAGTATGACCTTCTGGGCCATGTTGTTGGTACAGAGATAATCCGGTCCAGCACAGGTATTTGTTTTATTTAACAGTTTGGTAACTTGTATCACATGGCAGTCATTGCTCTAAATGCTATAGAGATAACTTATTTAATCCTCAGAATAATATTGTGATATAGATGCTACTTTCATAAGGAAATGGAGGCATAGAGAAATTTAGTGATTTGCCCCAAATCACAGTTATACAATGGTAAAATCAAGACCTGAACTCAGGCACATTGGATTCTAAACCCATACCTGACTACCCCTTGGTAGTGGGGCAGAAGGTCACAGGCATTAGGGTTGGGATGTAATAGAAGCAAAAGGAAAATAGAGCCTAATGTGGAGAGAGAGGTGAGCTTTGATCCTAAGTATTTCATTAAGACATTTGCTTAACTTAGCCAGTGCTCAGTTGACAAGTTAATAACCCCAGGAGAAGTCAGGCACACAGCCAGGTCTAGGGATTAGCCATGGAATTATTTTCTTAAGTGGATCACCCACCTCAGAAACAAGCTTTTCTGGCAAAACCTGCAGAGTTTTCTTAATGCCTAATCCTTGGGTATTGACAAATGTAGTCTTAAATTCTGTCCACTTGGAAACAGATGAGTTGCATAGGCCGCAGGGAGGAGGCACGCAGAATTTCAACTAACTGAGTATTTTGGCAATATGAAGGCTTTTTCCCCCCTATTGAAAAGCTGGGGGCTCTTGACTTTAATCCTCCAGAAACACTTGTTTTGGTGCAGAAAACAACAACAGCACCCCCACCACCACCACCCCTCCCCTGAATCCACAGTTACAGATGAAAAAAGGTGCCCTCGCCCTTTTGTTATGTTATCTGGACACCTTCTACTCCCTCTCCTTGTGATGCCATAGTATGCCATCTTGTGGGACCCCTCCTCTGTTTTCTCTCACCCCAGGACTAAGGGAGGCAAAAACAGTGGCATTTGCAATGGATTTGAGGGATAAGCAGGATTGTCAGGTTTGGAATGAGGAGTGGGAGGGGAACCAAGCTGTGCTCCACAAAGGAATTCCTGAGGAGTGACAAGCAAAAGGAATGAGAGGCTGTGGTGTGTAGGGCAGGGAAAGCAGCAGGTTAGGGCTCAGGTGGGTGGGTCCACTCTCCTGCAGTGGCATTCTGAGGTCATGTGCCTGCAGACTGGTGGGTGGCACCAGGTAACTGAAAGGCATCTGAAGGCTCCCCTGCCTTTAGCAGATGAATGTTGACTGCCCACTGCTCAGGCTTTAGGAGCAGCTGTTCAGGTGACCAGGAGTGAATGCCACTGGTCCCTAAGCATCTGATGCTGTTCTGTGTGTGGTTAGTAGCAGTCAGCCTGCTGGGGCTCAGATCCCAGCAGCCTTCCATCCCGAGAGGTAACGGTCCTAGTACATCTTGTATTAGCTCTGTAAACATAGCCCTCTCCCCTGTCCCCTGGAGACAGTGCTGGGATGGGCTACACACCAGCAGGTAGACAAGGGGGGCCCTGAGGGGACAGTTTCACAGCAGGCCCAAGAGGTTGAGCCTGCAACTGCCTGAATCTATTTGGACCAATTACAGTCTTAAGAGAGCCCAGCTCTGTGTCATGAATATGAATAGGCCATCCCCATCTGTCCCAGGATTTTCCTTGGTAGCCAGGTAGTTTGGCCTGTGTGTGTATCCCCCCCCCCCCCGCCCCCTCTCTCTCCAAGAGCCAAGTACACATCCTAAGACTGTTGAAAGCATATACCCACATCTTTATGAAAATCATTTCAGACTGTGCCACCTGCTACATCTGTGACCCATAGACCTGGGCAGTTTGACAAGGTGCGACCACCCTGAATGAGGCGATGTCTTTCTTCTACCCATGAATACACTCTTTCCTGTATGAATCCTACTTATTTTAGGAGAATGGGAAGCCAAGCGTAGGACAGTCTTCCCAACCTGGTCTTCGGTCCACTATCTCAAAACAGACAAAAGCCATCAATGGGCCCCATCACTTCCCATTCCTTCTATTTATTTCTAGGCTCGTTTGCCTGTTTGTCCATCCTGGGCACCTTAGGGTTTTGAACTGAGAACTTGGCTTCTAGCTCCCAAGTTTTGGGCAGTGTTCCAGGCTGCCCTGTAACACACCCGTCTGCTCCTTCCTTCAATACAGCATACTCACGCTCTCTGCCTGCCTGGCTGCACCTCCAGCTACCATGGGTCTTCCCTTGGTCACCTGGATTCCTACCTGGGCCATGACCTCAGCTCCCTCTCTCCATTCATTCAACCTCCAAGCAGACCCCAGCTCCTATTTTGTTTAGTCTTTGTCCCACAGGCAATACAATGTATGTGGGGAAAAGCCGAGCTCACAGAAAAGCTAAAGATGGAAATTAATAGATCCTTTCCATCCATCATCTCAAAAAAATCTTTTCAGACGATTTGGGTACATTGACTGATTATTATTGAATATTCTGCTTATAACCTATAACAAGTTACTCTCCTATTGAATTGCTGTGTAAATATGTTTCCATTTCACGAATGGCATAGTGTGCAAATTAAATGTGCGCAGCTTTGGACAATCTAATGAATGGATGCACATTCATTATTACCTATTTTGAATGTTACTTAAAAAATATTTTTAAATGTTCTTATCCAAGGCCAGGGCATGCTCAATGATGGTGTGATGTGCATCATAACCACAGGGAAATGTAGCATTTTATTGGGAAACTCAGTACAATGATATCTTCATTCTGAATGGCCTCATGTGCATGGATTATGTATTTAAACAATTATCTACTGTTCGTGTCTGTGTTTTACTGCTATAAGCAACACTGCAAAGACCTTCTTTTTTCCACAGGCCATTTTTTCCACTATAATTATCTGCCTAGGATAGAGATAGAATATTGAGATTGCTATTTTAGAGTGTAGGTGCCTTTTGAAGGTTTGTGTTTATTTTTTAATGCATATTGACAAATTGCTGTTCTGAAAGGTTCAACACTTCATACTCACATTATCAGTGTGTGAGCCAGCTAGTCCTCCTCACCCTCAGCGTCAGCACCGGATATTGCCTTTCCAGTTCTGTTATTGTCCCTCACAGTCATGCGCAGGCAGGGTGACGGGAGTAATAAAGATCTATTTTTGAGCATGTAAGATGTGTCTGGCACTTCCCTGAGGACATGGCCTCACTGATTTAACCCTTGGGCCCACACCGTGATGTAGGCACTATTATGACTCCAGTTTTTCCGATAAGAACACAGGCTCAGACCGCTGAAATCATTTTCCTTGAGTCATACACATGGTAAGTTGTGGCGCAAAGTTTAGAAATTAGAAAGCAACCTGGCTTGAGAGTCTATACTCAAAATCACAGCACGGATCTCTCCCTCTGCTGTTGGTTTAGGGGTTAAAAAAAGAAGAAGCAGTGACAGGAGTGGGGGAGGGAGGAAGAACAAGAAATCAAATGGCACAGAAAGGTGCATTCTGAAGTGTAGCATTCCCTTTTTAACCACTGCAGGCTTGTTTCTGGTGGTTCCCTGGAGAGCGCTAAAGAACCCCTACTCTGAAGTTTGAGTGTTTAACGCATTATCCCCGATCCCCTCACCCCCCCACCCCCACCCCAGATCGGGAGAGTGTCACAATATCTGAATAGCATAGAGAGGTATAAATATACATACAGGATTTCTGGAAAGATGCAACACCAGAGGCCATTCACTGTAATGACCTGAAGTGAAGAGAACTAGAGGAGCGGTTTGGGGAACGATGTGGGAGGAAGCCTTTCTGCCGAGCACAGCGTTTGATCCCTTTGCGTTAGGAACTGTGTCCGTGGTTTTGTTGTCCCCACATATGTGCATAATGTTCTCACTGTGACTGAATTACAAGCGTTCACTTCTCCATCCTGATTATGCCTATCTCTATAAGAACTCCCTGCCCCTGTGGGTTTCTGAGACTGTAAATCTTTACAGGTACAGAAAGGTTCCTCTTCCTCTTGAGAAGCAGCTGGTGGGCTCCAACAGCTGACCTTGAGGTTACCTGCCCAAATCATAGCGCACTACACCACCGAGGTTTCTCCTCCATGCACCTGGGCCAGCATCTTGCTGGAAGCTCCAGCTGAGAGAGGACCCTGGATACTCCATGTGGTGTGCTTTCAGTTCTCAGCAGGAAATCACTCCAAGCAGAGGGCTTCTGCTTTTTGCTGTGGATTTAAACAAGTGTTAAAGAAATTGATCACATTCCTCAAAATTGGTGACACCATTTTTAAATTTTCATCATTGAGCAAATTTTTCTCCGAGTTGGCAAATTATTTCATTAATTTCTAGGAAGTGAGTTTGCTTGCATGATCTTACTTTCCCATGCATTTCATCAATTGAGAAAAGAAGAGTTTTGTTTATCTTGGCGTTGTACACATGGTCTCTTTGGACATGTGTCAAAGGCAAAAGAGAAGCCGCCGGAGAGAGTGAAAGAGACATTAACGAGAAGAGGAGGCCAGGAGTTGGAGATAAAAATGCTACAAGATGCGCGATAAAGTACTAGGAACACAGAGAGAGACGAAAAGCAGACCAAACATGGATTTAATAGATCCACTTACTTTCGTATAGTGAGTTAATTTGCTAATCTATTCAAAATAGTCTCTTGTGTGTTTCACAACCTTACAAAGTAGCTAAATTGCAAATGTGTTTCACATCTTGTCCTCAAATATTTCACACTTAACACAGATGGCGCCTAATAAGCTGGAGCCAAGGCAGGGAAAATTTCCCCAAACCACTTAAAGGGTCATCCTTCATCATAAAAGACACAGAGAGAGGCAGAAATAGAGGCATAAGGGAGAGAACATAACGGTCCACTTTAGGAAAATATATTCAATTATGTGAAGTTTTAATTTGCTGAGCTATTCTACATTTCTTATGCAAATAATAACTAATTTATAAATACATATGCATTATATGTTTTACCTTGTACCCTTGAATATTTCACACACACCACAAAGGGTACTTAATCAGCTTGATAAATGGGAGTGGGCAGAGCTGGAAGTAGGAGGGGGAGTTGGGAAAATATTCTAATTTGAACAAAGCTTCACAGAA